CGCAGGGCTCGTGGTCATCGCTTGGGTAGGAGTGTTCCTATAATCAAGGAAAGCCAAATACGGATCAGTCCCAGCCTTGATAGACTTCCGTAGGAGACGCTTGGCTGTCTTTACTCCAGACTCTGCCTTGCCATTAGCCTTACTGTTCCCGGGACTGCTGGTTAGGTGCTCAAAGTCCCAGGTCTTTGCGAATGACACAAATTCTTTGGAGGTGAATTGTGGACCATTGTCGCTCACGACTTGATCAGGTATTCCATAGCGGGAGAAGTGGCTTTTCAGCTTCAGGATGGCTGTGGTTGCCTTGGTGTCTGGTAACCTGTCTACCTCCCAAAAGTTGCTGTAGTAGTCGATGGTAACCAAATAGTCTTTACCATCCAGCGTAAAGATGTCAGCGCCTACCTTCTCCCAGGGCCGAGAGGGGACCTCGTGGCTCATCAAGGACTCATTGGGTTGCGACGTTGTATCGAACTCCCTGCATATCTCGCATCCTGAGATGTACTGCTTGATTTCAGCCGACATTCCGGGCCAGTAGATACATTCACGTGCTCTTCTTAGACATGACTCTGTTCCTAAATGGGAGGCATGAATTCTTGCTTTCATGTCTGCACGAAGATTCTTAGGGATCACCACAGCATTTGCTTTGAAAATCAATCCATTTTGAAGAGTCAACTCATCCCGCATATCAAAATATGGGTGAGTCAGTTCAGGGGCAAGTTTCTTTTCTTCTGGCCAGCCTTTGAGAATGGTTTCAGATAAACTTTGTAAAGAATGATCTTTCCAAGTTTCAGCCTTAATTTCAGTGATGTGCTTGTCAGAAATGGGTACATAGTTGACCATGTTCACAAACTCTAGGTCGTCCTCATTATCACCTTCAAACGGGAGGAAAGCTCGCGACAACGTGTCGGCCAGGTGCATGTTTTTACCGCGCTCATAGTGGACGGTGAAGTCATACTTCTGCAGTCTCATCATCATTGACTGTAATCGCCTTGGTGTACGTGAAAGCGGCTTCTGAAGAATCACTTCTAGTGGTTTGTGGTCACTTTCCACATTGACATGTCGACCAAATGTATACTGGTTGAATCGCTCAAGAGAGAAAACGATAGCTAGCATCTCTTTTTCAATTTGCGCGTATCGTTTCTCTGTCCCTGTCAACGCTCGGCTTGCGTACTCAATGGGTCGGCCATTCTGAAGTAAAGCTGCTCCGAGGCCACTTTGACTCGCATCACATTGGATAGTGAGCTCACTGCAAGGGTCATAATAGCTCAGCACTGGAGCTTGTGTGACCATGTGTTGTATCTTCTGGAATGCGCTGTCCTGCTCCTCGGACCATTGCCATTGTGTGTCTTTTCTTGTCAGGCGACGTATGGGCTCCATGATTTCCGAAAGCTTGGGAAGGAACTTCGCCAAGTAGTTTACGAAGCCATTGAGCCTTTGAACTCCTTCCACGTCTTCTGGTCTAGGCATTTTGGTTACAGCCTCCACCTTAGCGGGGTCAGGTTTCAGACCATCGCTCGATAACAGGTGACCCATGTAAGGAACCTCTTTTTGGCGCAGTTTCATCTTGTCTGCGTTCAGAACTATGCCGTAATCTAGACATCTTTGAAGCAGCTTCTCCAGGTTCTCGTCATGGTTTGAGGTAGCTTCGTCATCATTTTGCCCCTTTCCACAGATCAGGATGTCGTCTGCAATACACAGGACTCCTTCCAGGTTCTCGAGGGCATGGTGTAGATGTTTCTGGAATATCTCTGACGATGCGGATAGACCAAAAGGTAGACGACACCAACGGTACCTGCCATAGGGAGTGGCAAATGTTGTAAGGACACTTGATTCTGGTGCCAAGACACAATGCCAGTAACCAGATTTTAGGTCGACTGTGGAAAAGACTCGTGCTTCAGACAGCTCAGGAAGTATGTCCTCTAGCACAGGTAGCTGATATCTCTCTCTTCTAAGTGCTGTATTTAATGGTCTGGGGTCTAGGCAGATCCTCAAAGCTCCGGTCTTCTTAACTGCCACAGCTAAACCGCTGACCCATTGGGTGGGTTCGTCTACTGGAGCAATAATGCCTATTTCTTGCAGACGGTCCAGTTCCTGCTTCGGCTGGCCCTTGAGTGAAGCTGGTACACGCCTAGGTGGCGCAACTACGGGAGTGATGTTTTGATCCACTTCTAAATGCACCGTTCCGGGTAGTGTTCCTAATTCTGGTTGGAACACTGCAGGGTGATGCTTGATAATTTCTTCAGTTGTACTGAGACTCTTGACTGCTGGCCTCGTCCGTTTAGGTGGCTGTGCAATCTTGAGATTTTCTTCATTGATGGTAATTAGGCCCATTTGCTGAGCTGCCTGCACTCCTATGATTGGTGTTAGTTGTTTCTCAACAACTAAGAATTCCACTGAGAACTTCCTTCCATTCTTCGGGTTTTGAATAATGATGCGACAGGATCCAAGAGGTTGCAGTGTCGTATCATTCCACATTCACAGTGTCTTCGTCGTGCGCTTGAGTGACTCGTCTGGAGCAAGTTCGGCGGAAATCACATTAACTGAAGCACCACTGTCAACTTGGAATTTCACGGGTTTCTTTGCAACAACCATTTCAGTGTAGATTTCTTTCGGGTATTCTTTCTTCATTGCATGTACCACTTCCGGTTGGTCTGTAATGCTTGTGATGTATTCTATGTCACTTTCTTCTGATTCTTCGGACTCCTCTCATACTGTGGACCTTGCTGTTACATTTTGAGGCAAAATGATTTCTTCCTTTACATTTAGCACATGTGGCTCCCCACGCGGGACACTTGCCTTTTTCAAAAACATGAATTTGACCACAAAATTTGCATGTTTTTCCAAGCTTTTCTTCTGATTTCCGGTTCTTCTTTGACTTGTCCAAACGTCTCTTCGGCAGCTGTTGTTTGTCTTTCATACTATGTACATCCTCGCTCTGTGCTGCGGAGATTTGTCTCAACTGGGAATTTGAGGCTTCAGTGCTTCTACAGATGTCAATACACTTCTTTAGATCTAAATTCCTTTCCTGCAGTAGTTGCTTTCGTATATGTTTGTCTCATATGCCAAGGATGATTCGGTCACGAAGGATGGAGTCACGCATACAATCACAGAAGTTGCACGTTTTCGCCAGTGTGCAAAGAGCCGTGACGTAAGCGTCAATGCTTTCATTCTCTTCTTGGTTTCGTGAGTTAAAATTATATCTTTCAAATGTCTCATTTAATTCACCGATTGTGTATTGATCAAACTTCTCTATAATCTTGCTTAGATTGTTTCTATCATCTGGGCTATCAAACTGAAAACCATTAAAAATCTTCAACACGTCTACTCCTATGCAGTGAAGAAACAACGCTACCTTGTATTCTGGGGGCTGCGTGCTAAGTTTCGCAATGATCACATAATTGTTCCACATCTGTTTCCAAACTTTCCAGTTTTCTGCCATGTTTTCTGTTGAAGTCAAGTTCAACTTTCCTGGAGGCAAGATGCCAGGAGTCATAGCCATCACGTTAGTCAAAACACTTGAACTCGCCATTACCAAAGGCGTTTGTTGTGCCATTCCGCTCGGCGGATCAGTCTCCGTGTCTGACATTTAGAGAGTCGTTTACTGAAAGTGCCGTAGGAGTGTTAAGTCAGGATAGCACTCATATCTCTCTCCACAGTAGAAAGGTTTAGTCTTCGGGTTCAAACGTTATTAGACACCCCACCGCTGCCACCATATTTCAAACTCCATTTTATTCACTCATCTGGCACCCTACACCTCAAAGTGACCTTTGATCCTAATCCTAGTAAATGATTATACAATCACGCACATATTGTAACAGAATGTGCCACAGCATTACTATCTTTTAGATACCCTAGTTTATAATGACACCTGGATTGGGGCCGCCAAACCCACCCAATTTTTCTGGGATGACCATTCCCCCCCTGGAGACAACATGTCAAGAGCTGAACCTGGCTCTTGCATGTGAGGGAATTGTTGGTATGGTATGGACTTTGTGCTGTAGAGTACCAAGTAAACAAGCTTTTGTTTACTGTTTTGTTTGTAATATGGAATAAACACTTGCAATACAGATATTGATTATTCATGCAAAATTTTAATTTTGCTCAAGTGGGGTACTCTCACTAGAATTGGGCGGAGATGTGCTGCCTGCTTCCCAACACCCCTACCCAATTAATAACCAGAATCTGCACTTTTTCCTACCCTACTAATTTTATGACCTGACCAAAAATTCAATACTCCATTTTTGACATGACCCTTTAATCAATACCCTATTTCAGACAAGCCTTTGAATAGAGTTACACTGTACCTAGTTCAGACCAATGTTATAGGCATTGTGAAAGGCTTTTGTTCATGCTCTTAGCGATAATGATGAAAAAGCAACTTCTCCTTAAATACATACCCAATTCAAGAGTAGAATACCTATGTGACCCATAAAGGGATTAAACCCACCCCCTTCAGGATCTCGATGCCAACTGAAGGGTTTATTTTCAGTTGTGGTATAAAGCACTTCATGACTTCCCCCGTGGAAAACATTGATACTGATCAAGTGTCTAGTGTTCCAGTGCTGCTGAGTTTTGTTCACCCTCAAGGGTTGTATTGACCCTCATATCATACATACATACATACATACTTTATTGACTTTCCCTTTAGAGGCTTTTCAAAGACAATACAATAATAATTTAAAACTACTTAAAAACTCTAAGATTCATTAAGATTAATTAACTAGAATTAGAAATCTATAAAATCCTTAATAAGTTTACGTTTAAGATAAAACTTAAAAGCAGATACTTTCTCGAGAGTTTTTAGAGAGCTATCCATGGAGTTCCAGATATTGACTGTTCTGTAGTAGAACGTTCTCTGACCACTGGCAGACTTAAAAAGAGGAATGTTCAGCATTTGTGAACTTCTTGTGGCCTGTCCGCTTATTTCTCCTCGCTTACTGAACTGGGAAGACAGATACTCCGGCACGCGAGATGTTAGACATTTGTAGGCCATGATAGCGCTCCT